TACTACTACTACTACTGTGTAAGTTAGACCTCCTACTACTACTACTGCTACTGCTACTGCTACTGCTACTGCTACTGCTCCTGTCCCTGCTGCTGCCACTGACACTCTATACTACCCGCACTACGAAAACTACTCCTACTAGCCATCTTCGCAAGTCTGAAGTGCAGCATTTTCTGTTTTTCCGGGTTGTTAGACGATAAAACCAGCTATTACTTCCGCCCGCTCCTTTCCAGCTGAGACGACCTCCAGAGACTGCCGGGAGTGCCCACCCCCAGAAACTACCGTGAGATTTTCTGGATGCCCAACCCCATGCAGAGACTCCCTGGAGTTCCCAACCCCCACAGACTACAGTGAGACTCGCTGGAGTGCCCAAATGAGAGACCACCGTGACACTCCCTGGAGTGCCCAACCCCAGAGACTACCGTGACTCCCTGGAGTGCCCAACCCCAAAAACTACCGTGAGACTCTCTGGAGTGCCCAGCCCGGGGACCCCAGACCTTGACGCCAGTCAGTGGTGTGCTCCCATCGATCGTCGAATGACCTGAATCGAACACGTGTTTTGGTAGGAATAACGAGGACCCCACGTCCGTAATGCCAGTCAGTGGTGTGACCCCAAGCGTGGGTCGTCGAATGACCTGAATCGAACACTCGTATTTTGTTGGGTCGTCGACTGGCCTGAATCGGAAACTCGTGTGTTGTGACGTGTACGGGGACCCCACGACCATAGCGCCAGTCACGGGTGTGACCCCATCGATCGTCGAATGACCTGAAGTGAACACTTGTGTTTTGCCAGGTGCATGTGCGGGGACCCCACATCCGTAACGCCCGTCACTGGCGTGACCCCATGGATCGTCCACCGACATGAATCGAACACGTGTTTTGTTAAGTGTACAGGGACCCCACGTCCGTATCGCCAGTCCGTGGTGTGACACCAACGGCTCTTCGAATGACCTGAATCGAACACTCGGAGACCCCACGACCGTAATGCCAGTCAGTGGTGTGGCCCCAGAACGCATTATCTGTGACCCATGCCGCCACACCGTCACATACAGCAAAACGACGTGAGAGGCACTATGTTGAGCTCTAGGTCCCTCCATGCTCACAGGCCTGAGGCCGCCGTCCCAGTCATGACGCCGTCGCCGGCCAGGCGCGGCACTCGACTTGAGATCGAGGGAAGGCTCGCCTTGTTGGGTTGGAATTGAGGATAATTGAGGACGGTGACTTGTGATGATGATGATGATGATTTTGGCACTAGTAGGAGTTCTGCTGCTTCTAGCGTGGATGCTGCTGCCGCTGCTGCTGATAATGATGGTCGTGGCATTGAGGGAGAGTATGATCATGATGATGCTGATGGTCGTCATCACTCATCATCAGTATTCACATGCACTTTGCGTATGGCGATCATGCACCTAGTATCTGACATTGCTGAGGGGTGCATGCGAGCTCCGTTGAGTGTAGCTACGTCCAAGACTTGCGGGGTTGATATTTCCACATAGGTTCTCCGCTGAGGTCACAAGATGCCCTTTCAGAATCCATTCAGAATTCG